GGCGGCGGCCGCCGCCGCCTCAGAAGCTCGGTGCTCTATCCCTGCCACTGAAATGGGGTATTTGAAAAAACTGGAGACGCTCTCGCGTGGAGCCGGTCGGAGGATACTTGCGCCATCAGTTGGGCCTCCAGTGGCACATGAATCTGCACATTCTTGTACGGGAGCTTGGTTTGAGAGATATTGAGCCCCATGTGGGACTTTGCATTCGAAGCTAGGCTCATCAGCAGAATTCGCCAACTCGAGCTCGCATTGCACACTTTTGGATTCGGGGCTTCCTGTATCCCCACTTTGTGGGGCACTCAGAGGTGAAGATTTGTCATATCGTCCACTCATAACCTCTTGCCGTCCATGTGGACTTATGGCAGCAGTCCCATTGGCAAGAAGGCCTGTGGTGGCTTCCCTGATCACTGCAGCAGCTGCCTCTGCTGCAGCCACGCTCCTGGCACCCTCAGGATTCACCTCCACGAGCGCCCGCCTGGTGGCTAAGTTTACATACGACACATTCACTGTTGAGAAACCATCGTCGGCGTCCTGGACCCAAGCTAAAGAGCCAACGGGAATATTTGCAGCTGGCACAGCGTGAAATGCGCCGCCGTGGGTCCCCGTAGAGTCTCCGTCCGCCCTGTGAGGAGTCATCATGCAGGAAACGCTGCAGGGGAAAGGCTTGGATAGGCTCTCGCAACAGAGTCTAGGGGAGCTAAAATGGTCCTCAGCGTGGGAGCCCACTCAATCTTTCCAGTATGGCATCTGCTAGGTGTCGCTGCATCGAGAGCCCTTCTTCGCCGGCCTGCTCGGTGTTGTGGTCAACATGTGGAGGAAAATACCCCGTGAAACCTAATTTTCTCTATTAAAACACCTTTGTGAGGCATACAAATGCAAGGAAAATGGTGAGCTGCTAGTTTCAGAAGCAAGTGTTGGTGCCCTAGTAGTGCTGCTCGTCCAGCAAGATACGCGCTGGGCATTCAAGAACGAGCACTTCAAGTCCTATATTCCCAGGAAAAGTAGTGTAACGGTAAAATAGGATACTTTATGAATGAATTGTTGATTATTTCACGCCTGGGGTGGACGGCGAGGAATCGAGAAAAGGTAGCCTTCCAAAGTGACCACTAGGCTCTGGCCAGTTGCTGGACCGCTACTGCGTCGCGAAACGCATAAAAACACAGTCTACCTTTTACTCTGCTCTACTTTATATTTACAAGTAATTTTCCGATATCTCGATAAGTTTAAACCATTTGGATTCCTCATTTCGGAAAAAGACGACGGTGGGTCTTGACAGCTTCGCAAGGAGGCGCACAAGTTGTCATCGCACCAACTGATCCCTCAATACAGCGGGGTTTGGAAATGTAAGTTACTTCAGTAAATTCTTGAGTCGTATTCGCTTTGAATCACTGAGCGGCAACGCTCGAGAAAGTTTGGCTTGTCGCCGACCCCCCTGGTGGCCTCTACAATCTCCAGGAGATGCAGGTGCCCGTTTTCCTGGTTACTTTACGCCCCCTGGCCGAACACAAGTGAGGTAAAAAGGCTTAGTTAAGGGTACAATATTGTTGATATTGCAACTTCGTGCACGGATACTAGCCGCAATGGTCACCATGATTTAACATAACCCGGAAGGATACCATGGCCGATGGGACCTCCGGCTATATATGGGGCTGCAAACAGCCCCACATATTTTCACATCACGCATCACATCCTTCGCATATCTGTTACATAATGGGTAAGTTAGCGGAATATGATCTGTCCTCTGCAGTAGGCTTAGAAAACGGGTATGTAGCAGTGTGCCGCATTGCGCCTAAAAGACGAAGGCTAGTCAATGTGCAGTGAACGTGGAAAATGAACCAGTATTTTCCAAAGCACCAGCATGATTGTCCACGTAGACTGGCGTGCCTAATATGCGTAGTGCCTCACAGGAATGGTGTCGGCAACTACCCTTGGTTAATGAGCCCTAGAACTTCAAACGCTAGCTGGCCCCAGCAGGACTAGGGCTCGCACACATAAATCTTCCTACCAGGTTGACGGCACTACGGATAAGAAATTGCCATGAACTTTCGAGAACCGTACGTGATGGATACCGTTTTATTTATGCCGGGTCGTCAGAAATAAGGTAAGGACATTCGAGGAAAGTAACGCGCTAAATGAATCCCCCGTGAAAGGGCTGCATGGGTTTTGTAAGGTTGGTTAGTTACAGCTATTTTACAATTCTTCTCAGGCTATGCTTTCGTGAGGTCTGTTTTGAAGGCAATGGCTCAACTGGCACGTAACGCTGAATCCCCTCCAACCCTAACATTTGCGAAGCTGGGTCCCGTACAAATTTCAACTATCAATGTATATGGATGTACTTACCATTGTTAGTGAAGCTACAAAACAACAGAATTGTTCTGGAATTGCGGCAAGCGAGAGAATTGGCACAGTAATATGTATTTTTTTGTGGTTTTCAGAGAGCAAGCCAACCGCAGTGAGGCTGGCTTCTGGAGTGGCTGTCTGCAAAAAACAAATGCGCGCGGACAAAGCAGGACATTGGCTAGTTCTATGCACCCTGAGAGCAGAATATGGTATGTCAGCATAATTAATATATGATCGGAACGGTACAGAGGGTAGTCTACACAATACAGGTCAGTTGAGCAAGTCGAAGTCCCCAACAGTGCGCCAATTCCCTTGTTCGTCACCCAGGCATAAACTAAGGACTCCTGGAGGCCGAAGTTGCTGCAGCAGACACAGGTAGAAAACCCAGAAATATTAAGGATGAAGTACAGGCGCTCACTGATGAAGAAAAACAGTCGGTAGGAGTCTCCCAAAGGACAGTGGTAACTCACGACAGAAGCCAAGGCGCCCGAGTTCAGACACGTCACAGCTAACACTTGATTTCTTGAGTCTGTATTGTCAGGCAGAGACTGCAGGCTGCTCGGATCCAGCGCCCGGACAACCTTCCCGGTAGTTTTGTCTACCATAGCAACCCGATAGGATTTAAAGTCTCGCGTCAGGGACCCGATTTGATCTCTTGGATCCCCCGCGTCCAAGGCGGGCATCCGAGACTTCGCGCCGAACTCATCAACTTCGGAGTTGCCGCAGACGCTTTGGGCCGTGCTACCGTCACTGTCAGCGTATCCACTGGTACGAGCAGGGGGATTTGGTGACTCCGCGTCAGCTGGCACCGCGCAGAGCAAGGACTCCGCCTCCCACGGAAATGCCCTCAGCAAACGAGCACTGTTTTTGATATCGATTCCTTCAGAGTTTGAAACATGACACCCCTTTTCCGGCCACTCTCGTAAGAACTGCAGAACAGGGAAAGGCAATCGGATCTGGTCTAAAAGCACAAGGTTTCCCGAGCCTGTGATAGGGTCGCCACTCCTCTCACTCCACTGCAGCAACACCAACGAGTTGTCTGCTGTGGAAAGCAGCAACAGGCGCTGCATCCTGGCCTCAAGAGACCGCGTCGTTTCTCCAAAGGGCATCATCTGTAGAACCTGTATGATCGGGTCAATGCCAGCGACTGAACTGAGATGTGGCGGAGCCAAGCGGGTGTATGTGCACCCGGTCAGCCAAATATCCGCAAGTTCAAGGGTCATCCCATTAATGCGCTGCAGGACAAGTAATACAGCACATTAAGGCGCAACATCATTGAGTGACTCACATGATAACGGTAGTTGGAGGAAGCTTCGTATTGCGGTGGGGAGCCAGTGAACAAGATTATTACCGGAATGGAGGGCATGTTCCACAGAAGGCGCAGCGGGGGGTCCCTGATGCATGATTGGCCTTCAGGACGTGCCGGTGGGTGATGCAGGAACCTCAGGTTGACTGAGAAGACAGCCAGTAGAGAGGGTCCAGTAACAGCCCACAGGTTGCCCCAGAGAGGCTGCAGACGAACTGTGGA